GGGAGTCAACCTCTTTCTGCAGATCAAATTTCCGATACATTTAACTAAATGTTCTATCTGAAATAGACCGACGGTGGCATTAGAAGTGTTAACAAAAATTTCAATGTTATTGCTGTTGTTGTTACGGCTGTCAGCGTCACTAGTTTACCCGCTTCACTGCCATTTTAGATCGTTGCTTTCTATCTCTGCTAATCTCCACCACCAGCTTAAGCCAGTTCTATTTTCAACGATTGTTTCCCTATAGTGCAGGCTCAGAGAACACTTCAATGTCAGCTCTGACGGTGTCCCATCAGGTCTTAACTTGTTCACTTCATGTGCCTCAAGGAGTCGGATGGCGTTCACTGTAATGTAGGTGATTTTGTATGGTGGACGTCTCAATCGGTAGTTGATATTTCTTTAGGACAGTAAAGAAGTGGACGGTGTTGCGTTGCAACCAGCGCTAATTGTGGCGCTGGTTGTGTGGGCAGTAAATTGTCCGCGAGATAATTGGTGAACACCAGTGGTCTAGAAATTTTAGTATTCAACTCTGAGGGCCTAACCCTCACAGTCGTTAAGAAAGATGGAGCGGATGGCGGCCTGCAAAACTCGGCATTTTCTCATCGGGCTGATCTCCATCATTTGCACAGAAATTTGCAGAGTTGGAGGAATGTTCCACTGCTGCCGTTATTTGATTCGTGATGTCATCTGTAGATTTCCCGCTGGGAATGGTAGCAAAGCAAAAGTTTTTGAAAGCAGCGACTTCTTCAGGAAGGATCGCGCGCATGAGAATGGGTTGTTTCTCTTGCTTTGGGATCCCTTGGGAGAATATTTTCATTTCTGCTGCGTTGATAATTAGTCTCACCACCTCAACGTCGTGAATTCGCTTAAGGGCATATTGGGAATCATCATCAGGTCGGTGACGATGTCGTTAGTAAAGACGAGATCAATGATGTAGTGACCAGGACAGCCTTGACACCGGCGAAATCTTTCACTGCTATTCGCATGATCTAATCATTGACGAATTTGAATAAGGCATGGAAGAGGACTTCGAAAAAGTACGTCAATTCGCCTAGGTTCGGACTCTTGCTCGTGTTTTGCAATTGTGCTTCTTAATGATGTTGCAAGCTTCTGGAAAATGCCATCCATTTCTAAAATACACCACAATGAGTCTTAATGAACAGAATCGGTTCATATTTTAATGACTGCGTCTATGCTAAAATGACTGGCAAGAGAAAACCACAGTGCTTAATTTAATCTTTTATTGAGACAAATCGCTAATGGATCTTGACTGCACTTTGCAGGTAATTCTTCATGTAAAATTTGTGATTGTTCTTGCTGGTAATTGTTGAGCCAAGATTTGCTGTATATTTTTTTTTCATTTTCATTTTTTCATGTTTCTTGAATTTTTTAGTTCATAGTCACCTTCTTCAACGGTTTTTCGCACAGCCTTCAAGAATTTGCCCGTATTCCGGTTTCAGACTCAGATTACAAGGTATACGATTCGAGGTATCAACTGGTGAAATCAGAGGTAAAATTTGATCAGCATTTTTATCCTCTGATGAACAGTTTCTAGAAAATCAGAGTCTTCAGTACAGATCAGCTATCATATCCAAATCAAGCGTCGTTTGAGCTCGTTTTTCCAATTACAGTCTCTGCCCTTGGATACAGCGTTTACTTTGTTAAAAGAGATCAGTCAAGGTTGAATGCGATGGGAATAAACGAACGCTTACAGACGGTATACTGTGCTGGTAAGAACGCATCGACCAACTTTTGAATCGTTTATAGTGTTCCTTTTCTTTTTACTCTCCATTTTAACTGGTATATTTTATTTCGAAGATAGAAAAATGAAAATCACTGTCCTCTTTGCAGAGGAGTGGCGGTGTGTAGTAAATTTGGCTTATTTTGTTACGTTCCATTTCCTCAACATGAAAATGATATTATTGTCCATTTTTGATATCATCGACGAATTGTCATATGAATCTTCCGTCGGTTTCGCTTATGAGCACACATCATTTGTTCAAAGGGTAGACGGTATTATCAAAAAATTTCACATTGCTTTCATTTATGGTTCTTCAATTAGAGTTCACGTTTTAATCAAGATATTTTACTACTAGGTTGATTTTTCTTAAAGATAAAGAAATCTGTCAACCCCTGATTTCGATGGCAGCTTAGTTGAGTTGGGTTCATGACGTGTCTTTACGTTAGAAAAATACCGTCCACCCTACTTCGCCCTTCCGTTTGGTCTTTTAGGACAAGAAACAAAAAATGCGACAAGCATGCCAACACTTTACCATTCAATAAGTTACAAATGAGGTGATCGAAAGCAAACTGTATGATGACGTTGAGGACTTCGAAGTCGGACAAAGTATTTTGATAAATAATTAGCTGTCGTAAAATGTAGAAAATGCCTGAAACGAAAGCCACATGAACTTCCTGAAGATTCGAGCCTCCAGTTCGGTAAGGAAATTGGTGCCCAAGCCATCCTCGCCAAGGTACCTATTAGGTTCCAGGTGACACTTCTAAAAACTGAACAAAAGCGGTGCTTTACTATGTAAATTAGCGAATATACCAAAAAAGTGATTCTTGAAGGGTTCCCGTTGCCGAACGCTGCATTACGCAAGACTTGGTTAACCACCAGCTCAAGGACAGGGTTAAAATCTCCCCTGGAGCAATGCGTTTTGAGCAGAATCAGCAACCACCCGGAATTATGTTGCGACGGGTTGCGTGCGGTTCTTCTGTGTGCGACCAGTCGAGATCTTGACAGTTAACGGGCGCTTCCATCGTGCTCCGATGTTCACCCATTCCACGGTAGGTACTCCCCAGCTCTCCGCGAGTTCAACCCTCTGTTCTACAGTTTTACGTGAAAGGTCACGCAAGTCGCAGTACCTAATCGTATGTTGTTTCTCAAAAGGTTCTATTTCTTCTGTCGTATGGCTTAGAGGATATAACTCTACATTTGAAAGTCCAGATTTCTATGACAGTGAATGGTCGTCACGATAGCATTCTGGACATCAGTTATGCTGCCGTCGAGCTCTCACAGCTATCATTCGGAAATAAAGGGTCTGAGCGGGGTGAGGTCTGAACTGCGGGGTCCGAGCCTCATGAACACAGCCACACTGCGGGCTTGACTTTATCTTCCAACGATGAAGAAGGCATTCGCAGTGCCCTGTCCTGTTCGAATCTAGTTAGCCTCGTCCACTTTTTTCGAGCCAAGTACATTCCAGGCGGTTCTGTTACAACCATTGCACTGCACTATCTGACTTGTTATGCTCTAGACAACAAAATAATACGAAATACTTCTATACTGTGTTTTCACCTTTGCTATTCAGCATGTTCTTGACTTTTCTTTCTGAAACAATGTTGACTGTGGCAAAGATGAAGGACTAGTTCTTGAGGGAAATCGCAGTTCAAGTTACCCAGCTATTTATCTGGCGACTGGTCTCATTTTGTGGATGGTATTGGTCTGGTGAGTAATTTAGAGAGCGGGCTATGCCACCTCACGGCTTCCGTTTTTAACCGTGAAAGTTTACCCCTGTTTTAACGCCCGGGAGTCCAAGGTAGAAAGAAATCAATCAGATAAGATTTAAATACTAGTGGAACAAAGCGGGGAATTCATAGAGAAATTCGACCAGTTTAAGTATCTCGGCTCAATCATTTCCAGTGATGGCACTGTCTAGTCAGAATTAAATTGGAGGATCGCTCTCTCAACCAGCGCTTTGTTGACCTGTCAATTACTTGGGTTGATAAAGAAGTAGCCTTTCCACGAAAGTCCACTCTTACTTGCCTGTGTTAGGTCAGTGTTTTTGTCCGGCACAGAGGCAGTTTTTGGACAATGGAACAGGAACCATGGTTGAATTATATGCAGCTGCGTTGGCTTAAATACATAATAAAGGCTAAACAGGAAGACCACTTAGGGAATGACTCCGTTCCCTTCTAGTCTGTGGTAACGTTCATATACGTGGAGATTAAGAACAGGGCGTTTAGCCCTGTTAAATAGACTGGTTGAGCAGAAATATTTGCATCCAGCCCCCCTAGCTTCTCGTGTAGGCGCTGAGCTAGGCCAGACAGTGGTAGATGCAGATCTGCTTTCGGGGAAGAATATTTCCTTTTACGATGCAGTACCAGTGCGTTATTGCAAAAGTGTTGTAAAGCTGCGAATACAACGAACATCACGAACAAGCTTTGTTTATGCAAATGGCTCAAGATGATGATCAACGTACACACAAGTACACATTTATGCAGTAACAGTGTTCAAATGCTACGAAACTTGACTTGCTGATGTGATTCCTTATGCATTTAATTGAATAACATCGTGTTATTCATTCATTTTATACTATGTTCAAAATGTAGAATGCGAAAATTGCGCTAAGAAAACTGCAGTGTATTAAAAGACTGATCGATTCACACAATCTTTTGTGTTCAGATTAGTTTAATTGTGCATAATCCGAAAGCCAATGTCGACTGCGGCCTGTAAGTTATTTCTGAACTTGGATTGCTTTCAGATCATTGACCTATCCACTCATATATTCATAAAAAAATTTCTTTATAGTAAAAAGAATCTGCACAGACGGCAAGATCCATTCTGTCATCACTGACATATAGTGCTCTACGTCGAAAGACGTTTTCGATGCTATCGAAAAGTAGTTAGGCCAAAATGTTTCAATCCTCAGCTGTTTTATATAGCACTGAGTCTAGGTTATTCATGTTCCTAATAATGGGAAGGTCGATTATCGTTGAATATTCGAGTTCTG